GGACAGTCCTCCTTTGCTTAGGTTACCTTGCCAGTAAAGGTAACCCAAGCAAGGAGCAAGGTAACCTAAGCAAAGGAGGACTGTAACTTACTCCCTTAATAAGTTATGCCTCCTCTATTTTAATTTTTATCCAATAACACAAGGCAGCTGCACAATACTTAAACTATTGTGTGTACTGCTCTATTTTCAGCAGATTATTTTTGTGTTTTTGTTTTTATCTCTCAAGAACATGAGTTGGCATTCTGGCCAGTTCTAATGCTCTGGAAATTGTCTGTTATTCAAAGCCTGTAACTCTCAGAAAGCTTTCCTTCATATTGGCAAAGGAAGAGAATACTATATTATATTCTCTTCATATTATATATGCATAAAACATCTTTGGAAGAACACATAAAAAACTGGTAATATCAGTTGCCTCCAATATTGAGATTGGGTGGTGTAAGAGGCAGTGATTATAGGAGCACTTTTGTTATATATCTTTATACGTCTCGAAAACATTTGAAAATATGCATTGATTACCATTTAAACACGCACACACACACACACACACGTGTGCGCACGGGCACAAGTTCAAAATCAGAAACATCTCAGGCCCACTAAACAATAGATTCCCATTTCGTTTCAAGCCCCTTCATAAATCCAGCTCTCCCCTACACCAGAGGTCCTGAAATTCTCAGTTGCTTTTTCTCTTTAGTCAAGCCATTTCACTTTACCATCTTTCTCAACATGTCAAATGCCTATGATCTCTAGCTTTCCATTTGCCCTACCCCCACCCAACCCCCTCTTCTCCTTATGCCTAAGGTAGTTCAAATGCTCTGGGAAGCTGTCTTTTGTTAAGCAAATCAGAGAAGCACTATTTTTGAGAACTGATGGTAGTATATAAATAATGACTTCTCCTATCCTGTAATATTGTCCCTGCCCTCCATATAGAAATCAGTTGCTCTTATAGAATAAATCAAAATCCAAGTAGATATATGAAAGACCTATGAAACTTAATCTATCCTTATCTGGCTATCTCCACACTGACCTGTGATCTCAGGTGAGGCCACAGATCTGTGAGCCTCTCAGGTGCAAGGGTGAGTTAAAAACACTTATCATCTTCAGGGTCAGCCTCTCTAATCTACCCCCCCAAGATGTCAGTAAGAAAGGACACTTTCTTCTTCCTAGTTAAGGACTTCTTGAGACTACAGAATTTATTACCCATCCCAGACAACCAGTGAGGAATCTAAGAAAGTATTTTTTTTCTCCTTCTTACATTAAAAAAAAAAAAAAAGGTAGCTACTTTTTCTGTCTTCAGTTCCTTTTATAGAGAATCTGACTACCTTTGCCTAATTGAGACCCATGACTTGACTATTACATCTAAAATGACATTTTAAATGAAATATTAGTCACATATATCAGGAAAGAAGTGTCTTTCTTTTAAACGATACTCTATTTTGAGTGAGTGCCAGAGATAGTGAATCTAGAATATGGGGCAAACTCCACTGTAATAATCTTCAGAAAAGAGAAAATATCGCTGTGTAATAGGACTCATGGCTGTGCCACTCTTATAGATTTCATTCTAAAAGAAAATGAATCCATGTTTTGCTTTCCTTTTAAAGAGCACTGGGAAGTGCTTTTTATCAGAATTATTCTGCTGTTAGGAAATTAGAAACAACATAACTATATCACTAACCTGAGTCTGGCATATTGAAGTTTTAAACCTCTTATCAGGACATACAGTCAGGGGTTTATATATAAGGTCTTGAACCAGTATTTTAAATTGTGTATTGTGTATTTTGTGTCTCATATTTCCACATATACTGCATGCTCCTTGAGGAAGGGAGCCAAATCTAATTTAATCTATAGCATCTGTCTCGGTGTCCAGCATGTAATAAATCTTCAAGAAATGGCTGTTAAATAACTTGAGAATCTATAGAGAGGTAGGAACATTTGGACCCATTAGAATAAGCCATTTTCAATTAAGGAATAATATTGTACAGGGAAATTCAATTGAGTGTGAAAAATAGGAGTGTGCTTTATTTACAGTGGAAAATAGTCTTCCTACTTTTAAAAGAGAAATTGGTCATTTATTGAATATGTGTGATAAATTCTAAGGAAACAAAAGTACTATAGTTCTTAGATCATTAAAACTTAAAGCAAGGGATCTAAAGAGGCAGAAGAGCCTCTTTCTTCTAACGGTAGAAGAGCGGTGGTGGGGGAAGAAGGCAGGTTAAGAGAGAAGTTAGTGAAGAGGGTAAGAGATGAGGTTTGCAAGGCAGAAGTAAAGATACAGAGGGGAAGACATTCTCAAGATGTTGGCCGGTTGTAACTTTTTATTGTTCATTTTGGTTGTGAAGCTCAAATTTAATGATCATTAGTCAGATCAGCTTAGTCAGATATCGGACACTTTAAAAGATAGTTATCACCTTTCCCTCTCACTACATTAGTTAATTGACTATAGACAGTGCTCACCTGGTTGACTCTTAAAATAGCTAGCTGCTCCATTTTCACAACTGAATTACAGTAACAGAAAACCAGCAGTCCAGTTCCTACAAAATCACATCAAGAACTGACAGGTCCCGAGAACCAGCTGACCATGACTTCCGACTTAGGCTCAGGCCCCAAATCCAGATTCTGGAGGTCTCTGTATTCAAATTAAAACTACTCTGCACCAGAAGAATAAACAGACTCAACGTTTCTCTCAATGAGAAAAGCAATATCTATCGAAGATTATTTAGTAACTATCCCTAACACTTATTAAATAACTACCGTGCACTTATTTGCAGGCATTGTGATTTGTCTTTTACATTCATAATCTAATTTCAGCCTCCTAAGGGCTCTCATTTTCACTGCTAAAATCCTAAAAGGAGGCCATAGATCAAAGGTAGTTCAATGTAGAAATGACATCAACAAAACCTGGCTGCCTGTGATAATAGCAAAGGTTTAATTGACTCACAGTTCAGCATGGCTGGGGAGGACTCAGAAAAGTTACAATCACAGCGGAGGGGAAAACGAACATGTCTCTCACCTATGGCAGCAGCAAGGAGAAGTGCAGAGTGAAGTGACTGCTGGGAAGCCCCTTATAAAACCATCAGATCTTGTGAGAACTCACTATCACAAGAACAGCATCATTAGGGTAACTGTCCTCATGATTCAATTACCTCCCACTGGGTCCCTCCCAGACAGGTGGGGATTTTATGGGAACTACAATTCAAGATGAGATTTGGGTGGGGATACAGCCAAACCATATAAGAAGGGATTAGCGAACACAGAAATGAGAATAGAGCTGCCAAGAAAATCTCAAATGGCGTAGTGGCTAAAAGACTTTTTATCCCAAATATGTCTTCTGTTTAAATTTGTCCGTACATCTGATGTATTTTTCTACTCTGATATATTTCAGGAAAGTCTTTGAGCCACAGCCACACTAAATTACCATTTGGTTTTGTTATAAGTTTTCTTTTGATTTCCATTTTTATGTGTATGGAAAATGAGAAAAATATCCAAGTCTTATCTCACCTCCACACAGTATTAGAAGAGGAACAACATGAGTAAATTAATCTATAAAAACAATTTGGGCCAGGTGCGGTGGGTCACACCTGTAATCCCAGCACTTTGGGAGGCTGAAGCAGGAAGATCACCTGAGGTCAGGAGTTTGAAACCAGCCTGATCAACATGGAGAAACCCCATCTCTACTAAAAATACAAAATTAGCCAGGTGTGGTGGCGCATGCCTGTAATCCCAGTTACTCAGGAGGCAGAGGCAGGAGAATCGCTTGAACCCAGGAGGCAGAAGTGGCAGTGAGCCGAGATGATGCCATTGCACTCCAGCTTGGGTAAGAAGAGCAAAACTGTTGCAAAAAACCAAACAAAGTACAGACAATTTGTACAAGCAGGTATACTGAACCAGAGGTGACCATAAGAACCTGAGTCCCTCTGAAGCTCACGGTAATCCTGAAAAGGGCTCTGGTCTTCTTCCACAGTCCAGGCAATGGGGCTCAAATACATCTTCATTAGACCTCAAGGGTTAGGGAGAACTCCTGACATCTGGATTACATATTTGCTTTGGACAAGGGACTTTCCCCACAATTAAATTTTTACAGAAACCACAGGCAAAAGTTTTGTGTATCTATTGCCTGTTAGAAGGCCAAAAGAATATAACACTATGCATCAATTACATCTCATGAGTAAGAACTGGATTTGTTTCCCTTATTAAAAGTTCATGTTTTAAAAGTTAGTTGGTCCCTAGGGAAGTGAACTAGAGTCAACATGTTAAATATGTAATTATTTGTCTGGAGTTTCAGCATTTACTTCTCCTGGAGAGATGCCCAAGACCTGACCTAAGTAAAATAGTATAGATATTTTGTGGCCACAGGACTCTGTTCTCTTGCCTCTGGTAACACATTTCTATAAATGCCATATTTGAATTTGCTGCAAAATTGTCATTAAAGACATCATCCATTTTATTATTCCCTGTTGGTGACAGTGACTGTCAGTTGCTTATTAAGTATTTTTACTATTACACATTACTATCCAGAAAAAGACTACTTTTCCCAGCCAAGTCTATACCCTTACATGATGTGGCCACGTGACTAAATTCTAACCAATAAAATTGAAGCATAAGTGTTGCATACAACTCCTGAAAATTTTTCTTAAATGGGAAGGGACAAATAACTTTTGGAGTTTCCTTCTTCTTGCTGACGGACTGAAACTCAGATGTGATGGTCAGAGTTCAGCAGCCACCTTGGGCTGCCGGATACTGTGAGGATGAAAGCCACAAATCTTAAAGACAATAGATCTGAAAATAGGAGAGGAGCCTGGGTCTGTGATGACACCATGAAGATTCCCAAAGCACGCTGGGATTCTCTATATCTGACCTTCTTTTACATAAAAGTAATAGCTACCACTTTATTTAAACCATGTTTATTTGGGGGTTTCCTGTTGTATGCAGCAAATATAACATCTCTCTGTCTCTTATATATAGGAATGTAATTTATTTATTTATTTATTTATTTTTAACTTTGAAGCCTGCAGCACCTGGTATTCCCAAACGGTCTCCCATCCAAGTACTAACCAGGCCTGACCCTGCTTAGCTTCCGAGATCAGATGAGATAGGGCGCGTTCAAAGTAGTATGGCCATAGACAGGCATGTAGATTTCTTATAGGATTTAATAGTAGGAAAGAGAATGTTTTCCCTAATGGATTTACTTCATATCTCACTGCCTTTGTTTTTTTGGCCATGTCTACAATGAAGACAAGAGTTAAATATCGTGGTTGGCTAATGATGCTTGCCCAAATCTGCTGCTATAGTGATTTTCATGCCTTCCCTCTACTTCCAGCCTGATTCACTTCCACACATTCTGACAGCTTACTTTCATTTCAGTAATTCAGTTACATATTTTATAAGCTTCCTGAAAAACGTTTTTTCAAAAATATCATCACAGGATTTTGTATGATCTACTGATTAGATGACCTGTTGTATTTCAGGAAAAAAAGATTATATAGGAAGAGGGAACAGTAACTTAAATTATTGATATTTAAATTCTAAGACAATTTGATTTTCCTCAGCTGAAAGATATTTTCTCTCTGCCCACTAAACAAATCAAAGTCCAACAAGACCTACCCATATTTACAAAAACAATTCAGACTATAAATAGATGTAGTTCTTCTGAGGTTGGGCATGGTGGCTCACGCCTGTAATCCTAGCAGTTTGGGAGGCTGAGGCAGGTGGATCACAATGTCAGGAGTTCAAGACCAGCCTGATCAATATGGTGAAACCCCATCTCTACTAAAAATACAAAAATTAGCCGAGCATGGTGGCATGTACCTGTAGTCCCAGCTACTCAGGAGGCTGAGGTAGAAGAATCACTTGAACTTGGGAGGTGGAGGTTGCAGTGAGCCAAGATTGTGCCACTGCACTCCAATCTGGGTGACAGAGTGAGATTCTGTCTCTCTCTCTCTCTCTAAAGATAGACACACACATCTATATATACATATACATCCATATATACACATACACACACACACACACACACACATATATAGTTCTTCTGCTATTACTTCCTTTGCATACACAGAACTTAAAGAACCTGAGACTTGGCTATTTACAAGTACTAAATTAATTGGTGTTGAATAACACATTTTTATCATTAACAACTATTAAGGAGCCGAGCTGGATCCAAATCGAGTCTGTGTATATCCAAAGGCTCTGTTCTCTGTCCTGTACTGACTTATATACACAGAAAATATTTGTAAGGTAAGGTCTCAAAAAAAGGGGGGCAATCTGCTAACAGCCACCATCTACTTTACTTTGCAAAGCATTTGTTAATAGAAAGGGCAGATAACGGAAAATAAACCCATACATTTTGCACAGCTGTGCCTCTGTGTCTGGTCTGAGATTCTGGCATCTTGAAGCCACTGACTTCATGTCCACACCCCTTCTCCCCTCTGTTTTCTCCTCTTGCTTCCTCCGAGATGCTGTAGAAACATCCACAAGGACTTGCTATAGGTAAAACATAAGGGAGAGAAGTGTGGAGTGATTTTCATCACATTACACAAATAAATGCAGGAAACAGAAATTTCATTTTCACTAGAATGTAGGTATGACTGATCTCTTTTGTGGGTAAAGTTGTGCTCACAGAATATGGTTTTAGTAAACCTGCTGTCAGTAGGAGGATACGTTTTATGTTATTTGGGCAATCTCCTACTTACCCATGAAAATTTTCTTAAGTAGATTATTTGGAAAAGATAATAAGAGCGACATGTGGGCCTACTTTTTTCCTAAAAAACATCCTGAAATAACCTTTTAAAAACTTAGACTGAAAGCATTACTTCCCCCGACACAGGTTACTGTTTCCAGAATTGTATTGGTCCTCCACTGTCTCCTCCTCTGCCAGCATGTGCATTAGGGTAGTGATGTCATAACTCTATTCATCAGTATCCCCCTCTGTTGCCTCTTCCAGGGCAGGGAGGGTAGCACAGTGAAAGGAATACATATATTGGGGATTCAGTAAAGGCTGAAATGAGACAAGTTTCTAATCTAAGTTTTTGCCAGTTTCCTGTTCTTCATAGTATGAGAGATTTATTTGTTCATACTCACAATCTATTATTTTATGAGATTTGCAACACCTTCCTCTAGGCTCTCCAAGTCACCCAGGTGTGTGTAATTATATTCTTCTTTCCTAGTTTGTTGTGGTTCTTGGTCTCCTGTGCTGCTTTCCTTCCTGTGAATGACTCACTCACTCTTTCACCGATATACTAAAAGCAATTCCAACAGCAATGAAAATCAGTCATGCAAATTAAAATGCCAATAAGATTCAGTAGACAGGCATGAATGGCCATCTTTCACAAGAGCTGGTCTCATTGCCAAATGCTCAGGCCCTAAGAACTGACTGACTCCTCAATGTACTTGACTTCCTGTTCCATGGCAAGAATAAGGCATGAGTTTTTGTTAATCATTCTAATTAAGAAAGATTAATCAGTCAAGTTTCTAAAAGAATTGAACACAATAAAATATTATAAATAGAAAAAAAAAACCACTGGGCACATATTTCTTCAAAATCCAGAGAGTATTTCAAGATTGCAGGTAGAGTACTCTGTATAACCCCTGGTGCATCCTAGGTTCTCAGCTTTATGTAGAGTCACTTTCTATATGATAATGGGATTGTTATATTTAGTCATGACAGTAAATAAAGAAGTATTGATAATAGAAAAGTTATTTTATTTAACCAAGCTTGAAAAGTGGTGTTGATAACATCTTAAAATCAGATGGGATGAAAAAAAAGTTATAATGTGGAAGGGCCAGGCTGAGGACTAAGTTAAATTTAATTCTAAATTGAATAAGGCATGGCTATGCAGACATTCATTTCTAAGAAACTTTATCTGATGACAACTTATCTACATTATCTGGACATCTAAGGTACTGAAGTAGAAACTCTGTGGAAACGCTGAAGCATAAGATCCAGATTCTATCCTAAAAACTATTGAGTTATAAGCTACTTACTTTTTAAAAAAACAATAAAGTAGCAGTTTAAGATGAAACATAAAAGCAAAATTATGGAAAGAGACACAGAACTCTTTACTGATCAGAGGCAGAAAAGGTTCCTTCTCATAGCAAAACCTATGAGTTACCTAGGAAGGTTAAATAATTCTACCTAACTAAAGCTAACGCTTCTAGGAGTCCATCTATCCTCTGCCTCATGTTTCAGTTCCTACTTCCATCCTCAAACCCAACCTTACTCTCTTGCCCCCTTGCTGGACAAACCATATCTCATCTCCCAATTTTACTATCTAGAAATTAGTGAATAACAGAGAAAAAAAAATTCCTATCTGAGACTAAATTTGCAGCCTAGTATAGAAGGTGTGTGTCACAGAATCTGAGACAGCACATGGAGATTAGCATACAGTGAGTTTATTAGGGAGTGTTCCCAGGATTGGGAACCTATGGGGAGGGAGAAGGAAGCATTATCGGACAGAAGGAGAACGTGGGCTGTGTGTGTTCAAGTGGAGACCCAGCCAACCACATGGGAAGCTCCACATTTAGCTGATAATCCTTAAGAATTGCCCCAAGCTGGGTCAAGAGGCCCAGGTTGTTACATGCTAAGGGCAACCAGTCAGTAAAGCAACCTGACTGGAGAAAAGGATGTAACCTTAGGGGTGATTAGCTCTCTTTGGCCAAGCAATCATGAGGGATAGCAGAGAGCACTCCATAACCAGGAGAATCGGGGTTTTTAGTGCCGGGAGGGAGATCGGTGTAGCACTAGCCATCATCCACCTTGGTTATACACTTTTTCCATCTGAGTTTTCCAAAGTTAGATGGCATTTTTACAGTTGTCCCTTCTCACTTTATGTACATACTCAATATGTCTCCTGATTAACATTATAATAGTCAATTATAAGTTAAGAAAATTACTGTAACTTTGCATATAATAAAACTTGAAAGCATCAAATTAGTCATTATGTTCATGCCTCTTTTCTTAAACAAAATAGCTCTCTCTTCCTTCTTGCCCAGCTGTTCGCAAATAATTTACAGTTCATAAAAGGCTAATGGAGATTAAAAACAATGCACAGATGTCTCTCTGATTTCCTTTATGGTGTTCCTCTGGGAAGTGTTATGGAAATCACTCCTTAGCTTTGCCTGAGTTTGTTGAGGAAGTTGATAGTAATGGAAACGAACAACTGTGTGCAAACAAAAAGCAATTCTATTCTTCTCATCAAAGAAAGTGATTGGAAGGTGCTATGTCAAGATGCCATCAGAAGTTGGACTTCTGGAAAATGGTTCCACAGACAACTTGGACCACACAAGCAACCATTTGTATCACAGAACCTGCAGGGATATGACAATATCTAGCTAAGTTTCTCACTTACAAACTTGACTCATTCACCAGCAAAGTTCTCCGTGCCCAGTAAGAATCTTGGAGATGAAACAGTAAACACAACTGACACAAATCCTGCTTTTATGCAGAGGGCAGAAGCACGAGGGTAAATTAACATGTTAAACAAGAAAATATAATAAATTGCAAAGTGTCACAGAAGCATAAGCAGGGCTTCTTTTTTTAATTTTTTTAATTTTTTGAGATGGAGTTTTGCTATTGTTGCCCAGGCTGGAGTGCAATGGCGTGATCTCTCACTGCAACGTCCACTTCCGGGGTTCATGTGATTCTCCTGTCTCAGCCTCCTAGGTAGCTGGGACTACAGTGCACCACAAAGCCCAGCTAATTTTTGTATTTTTAGTAGAAATGGGGCTTCTCTATATTGGCCAGGCTTGTCTCAACTCCTGACCTCAGGCGATCCACCCACCTTGGCCTCCCAGAATGCTGGGATTACAGGTGTGAGCCACAATGACCTGCCCAAAATCTTCTTTTTTTCTTCTTTTTTTTTTTTTTTTGAGATGGAGTCTTGCTCTGTCCTAAGACTGGAGTGCAGTGGTGTGATCTTGGCTTACTGAAATCTCTGCCTCCTGGGTTCAAGCAATTCTCCTGCCTCAGCCTCCCAAGTAGGTGGAATTACAAATGCCTGCCACCACATCAAGCTAATTTTTGTATTTTTAGTAGAGATGGATTTTAACCATGTTGGCCAGGCTGGTCTTGAACTCCTAGCCTCTGGTGATCCATCCACCTTGGCCTCCCAAAGTTCTGGGATTACA